GTCTAAAATCTTTTAACTGGAAGGCCCGGAGAAGTTGGGATAGGCCTGAGTTATCAAGGACTTCTGGAAAGCGTGTTGACATCAGACTCCCTGGGGAGTCTGTTCTAACTGAGAATTAGACCTTGAGGGACTCCAGGATTTACAGATTTGATACTGTCCCTGGATCTCCTATACTGAACTGTTTCCAAGTGATATGGATTTATTTCAACAAACAAAAAAAGCACCAGCAATATACTCAGCAATATCTTCAGAAATGTGAAGCTCCCAAGAAGTTCCCAGGAGACAAAGCAAACACTGGAAAAGAAGAGAAACATTAAGCCATTTAAGGCACTATATGGTTAATCATCCAAATGACGCTGTCACGGTGAGTGCAAAATATGTCTCAGACAGTTGTCTTGCAAAATCTCTGAGGATGCAATCTCTGGGCCTTAAAATTATGGAGAGCTGCTCTGCCCTGGAAAAGTAGGGTAACAAGAGACAACCAGCTAACTCACTGTCGTTTCTAGAGGAAGGATCAGGTCATGAGCTAGGGTTGGGGATGGAAATGAAGGATATAAGAATTGTCAAGTGATGGGATGGGGAAGTGGTACCAAGAGAGTCCCATTAACATATTGCTTCAAAGACAAAGAAGATTAAACTTCAAGTGGCCATGCATGTGCGCACGCGTGTGTGTGTGTTGGTTGGTCAGGGGCAGGGGATTTGAATGTCATAAGTGCTGTCTCCTCCAGAGCTGAGTAGATGAACGATGTTGTAGGTCCATGAGTGGGGACTGTGGCACGCTGTTTGAACTGTGGTCTCTAAAGTCACACAGAACTGGGATCAAAGCCTGGCTGTGCCCTTCACAAACATCACCCTTGGTGTTGTGCAGGCTGTTTAACCTCCATGAGACTCAGTCTCTTCAACGAGGGTGGAGCTGGTAATAGTGCCTTCTTAGAATTGTGATGAAGACTTACTGCCCTGACCCAGAGAAAGAGGCTGTGCAATCTGCAGCGTATAGAAAGTGCTTAGTAAAGGAACACATCCTCAGGTGTAGTGGTTAAACTTTCTTGTGAAGTAACTAGTCTGTGTAAAAAGGGAGGTTTGGCTTATGTAAATGGGATGTCAGAGGAAAGAAATTGCTTTCAAGTATGGATCCAGAAGTTTAACAATACCTACAGGGCTCTATCTCTCTCTCTCCCTCTCTCTCCCCCCGCCCACCTCTGTCTCTCTCTCAATCTCTCTCCCTCTTTCCTATTTTCCTCTTTCTCCCTCTTCATCTTCTCTGACTTCTGGCATGGGCCTCCGTATCAGCCAAACATTTTATACATAGTAGTGAAAATGTTCTCTGGCATCTCCAGATATATCTGGTCCATAGTACATACTTTTTTAAAGTTTTATTTTTATCACATGCACCTGATTTAAAGGATCAGCTAGCTCTAAGGGGGGTACTTCTATGAAAACTACGCTTCCTACCCCCTGTTCCATTCCCTATCTCAGAGTCATCACTTTCAAACTTTTTGGCTGATTGTCTATTTATCTCTCAATAACATGGTTGGTTTTGATTTTTTATTTTTCAGCATTATAGCATGATTTTTTCTGTACAAATTAGACAATTCACCCCACTACAGAAATGCACTATTTCCAAAATCTAGCTCCCAATTTAGTTAAATTACCCTTTGTGTAGATCATTGTTCAATAATTATATTACTGTAACTGTGCAAATGATACTCTCTGCTGAGTCAAGTGGTTAACTGTGATTACTTCTGTTTCTTACATAACTTTGTTTAATTAGAACAAATGTCTTTTGCTGTACTTTTGCTTTTCTTTTTCTTTACTTTTCTGTAGATTTGTCACTAAGTCAACCCCAAATTCTCCCATTGTCTAATTCTCCTCTCAACATATGCAGATATTCTAAGGCTTTCATTTTCTTACAGAAATCTCTCCCAGAATCATCTAGCTACACCAGTCTGGACTTTTTGCCCTTCAGGCCAGATGTGCACCTCTCACTGGGGATCTCTTCTTACCATCCGTCATCCTGGGAAGTTTCTTGCTTTGTCTCCTGTATTGATCTCCTGTTACATGTATCTCACGTTTTCTTCTTTATAGGTGCATATTCTTATTTTTGGTGGAGCATATCCTGAAATGCTTCCTGACAAAGCGTGTAGGGGAAATATAATTTGGAGATCTTACATATCTGAAAATGCTTATTATAGTCTTCCACTTAAGGGATAGTTTGGTTGGGAATAAATTCTAGGTTGGATATCATTTTTCTGCAGAATTTGGAGGCATTGCTCTAGTCTCTTCCAACCTCTTACATTATTTTTGAGAATTCCAAAATATTTCTGGTGTCTGAATCTTTGTAGGTAATTTGGAGGTTGTAGGATGCAATGCTGAAATTTTATGATGATGTATCTTAATATGGGTAAAATTGACCTGTAGTGCCAGGCACTTGATGAGTCTCTTCCTTCCCAAAAGTCAGTATCTTCTGTTATGGAAAATGTTCTCGAATTTCTTTATTGATGATTCCCTCTCCTCTCTTTTTTTTTCCATTTTCTTTTCTAGAATCCCTATTATTTATATGTTGGAACTACTGGATGGGTACTATTCTTTAATTATTTTAGTTTTTCTCCTTAGCTTTTCTTCTGTAATGTCTGGGAGATTTATGCAACCCTATCTTTCAATCTTTCTACTGATTTTTTTTAATAGTTTTAACTTTCTTGAGCTGCTTTTTGTCCTCTAAATGATTTGCTTTATATAGCTTTCTTTTCGTATTTTATAGATACAATATTTCCCCCCCCCGGGAGAATATTAGTGGTTTTTTTTTTTTTTTAAGTTTTCTTCTCTTGCATTCTCTCCTGTTTCTTTCAAGTTACTTTTACTTCATGTTTGTTGGTTTCTATCTTTCAGGATAAAACACTGTTGCTATGGACTTCTCTCCCATTTTCTTTGTTCTTACCAGTTCTGCCTTTATGAATATCTTGTACTCATTTCAGTTGCATCTCTGAATTGTCTGTTTACATTAAGAATGGGCGCTAAAACATCCATAAATTTGTGTGTGTGTGTTAGTGGGTACTGTCAGACCTGGACTTTAGTGGATTTCACTTGCCTGGGCTGCTTTTATGTGGGAACCCTAATGTCTGTATCTCTAGGTTTTTCATCTTGAGCTGGGCAGATTCCCCAGAGAAGGTGTTCCATTCCATTCTCTTGTCTTGAGGATAAAGACCGGTCTAACAGTGTGCAGGAGCTGTGCCAAGAAAGAGACCCATGGGTCTCAGTCCTGAGTGTAACACTTGTTCAACCTTTGTTTTCAGAAAAGTAACCCCTTAACACCACTACACCTGATTCCCTCGGTCAGGAGACACTCTGCTTTACCATTTCCATAGAATAGACCTATAGTCCTCTGCTGGGGCAGAAGTTGTTTGGACATGGGAACTGGAGAGAGGATGTGGGATTGAATTGAGTCATGTCTTAAACTTCCAGCTGATCCTCTTCTTTTTAGTGACACCTTCACCACATCCAAAAGCAACTGGTCCCATGAAGACTTAGGAGCGTTAATGGTCTGTTACTAAACTATTTTAATAAGAACGTTTCTCAGGATCTACTTGGCCAATTGCTCATCACTCAACAAAACACTTGCTGTCATCCTCTCTTCCATTCTTTTTGTTCTTATGTGTTTATTTTAGCTGGGTTTAAAGAGACACCAAAAGTAAATGTGTGTGTTCAGTTTTTGGTGTTCTTAGAGCTCTTTATCTCCCAACCTCCAAGTGATATCCCCAAAAAGACTATGATAAATACGTTGGATCACATGCCCCAGCTCCCAACTTGGCACTAATCCCTGTGACCTTTGTTCTCTTGAGAATCTGGGTCACCTGCTTTTCCTCGTGGTAGACAAAGGGTGACTATATGATCAACAACTATATGAGAATCATACCGAGCAGCAGTTTCCTAAAGAAAGGGATGTAGCACTGACAGCCAGGTAACAAATGTCCCAGACACAGGGCAGCTTTGTCCTCCAAAAGGTGCTGATCTTGAGGAAGCAAGGATTTCCCTCGGTTGCTTTGTATTCAAAAAATGTTGGCTCCATCTCAGAAACACTAGTTATCCAAGCAGAAAGCACCTCCCTTGATGTTTTTCTCCATTGTAAGCTTCAGCAACATCTGTTCACACTTAGCGCTCCTGAATCAATTTATTAATGTGGATGCCCATTGGTTTGCAAGGGCAGCAAAGGTTTCCTGGGGAAATTCTATGCCCTGGAGTGAAAAAGGAGGCCATGGCAGGCAGCCTTTTCGGGACTCTGGGCCTGGACCTGGGTATGCACATGGAAAGGGATAGGTGCAGTGCCTTTCCTTTATTTGAGTGACCAGTGACAAAGGGACATGATACTTGTTTACCTGCTTTCACTTCAGAAGTCCTAAAGTAGGGAAATCCATTGTGGAAAACTTAAATAATCTGTGTGCATTGTGAGGGTAGATGTTCTTTATTCTTGTAAGTATTTTGTGTTCGTCTCTGGGACATGATGCTGGACATTCAAAGAAATAATGCCATCCTGTTTAAGTGTTAAACTCTAAGCGAAACAAACTTGTGGTTTCTTTTGAGACCTCTAGCTATCTATGTCACAATGACACAGTTTAGAAGACAATGCTTCTGAAGGACATTTTTAATGGCAAACTTTAAATGAAGTCAATCCTTGGTAGCTCAGTGACAATGCCTGTGCATTATTGGCCTTTTCCAACTTAACAAGAACGAAAAAAGAACCAATTAGTCACATATGATGAGACGTGATGACATTTTTACTCCTGAACTTTTCTGGTATAAAAGGGTCACCCAAGGAGGATCTGACAGTAAGTGTGAGGAATTTGGCAATAAAACCACCGGTCTGCAGAAATTTTGGAAAATCCAAAATGATTAGGTGAAAGACTGCCTTTTTCCACAAAGAAAACTGTTGAGTTCATATATGCTTTTTATACTTATACTTGCCTAAATGAAACTAATCTTAGGAGTTTTTTTTCCCTACCCTACAGCTCATTAAAATTCAGCCTTATTCTACTTCTGTTGATTTCTATAATGCACGTGTTCTGGTGTTATCCAGTTCCACCTTCTAAGGTAAGAGTTTTGCCTCTATTTTTGATGCTTGACTAGATGGCTTTTAAGTGTTTAAGTTCAAAGTAATCTCAGGGAATATGTGACAGAAAAGTAATTTCTCTTATTATTAGAGCTTTCAATGAAAAAAAATAAGCAGAGTCAAGAAATTAGTAAAAAGAAGTGTTTATGTGACAAAAATAATGCTAGACTTATTAAAATTTGTTTTAAATTATTTAAGAATTGGCTCCTGCATAGAAAAGCATGCATTTCAATGTAAAATGTACATAGTTTTGCCCATGACAATTTATTTATTCCACATGTCCACTCATGATCAAAGTGAACATTTAACCATTAAAACTATATTACAAATACAATAGATCAGTTTTTTAGAATAGTGAATTTACCAATTTTATAAAAATGGTAACTTTTTCAGAAACAGAATATAGATAAAATGCCATATCTCAATGAAATATCACATAAAATATTAATTCATGTGTTTATTCAAGAATATTGATTGTCTAATGTTAATCATTGAACTGTTCAAAACATTCAGAAAATGAACGTCTTTCTTTGGAATTTTTAATACTATTTCTACATGATATTTCAGTTGCTTTAATGTCAATACTTTGTGTAAAATTTTAAAATATTTTTCATCAATGATAATGTTTTGTATTCACTGAAACTTAACCTGGCATACTGTAAGTACTGAATCAATGTAATTCATGAAACTACTTTTAGGATAATGAGATGCTACATAAATCCTAAATAATAGATATATGTCCAAACATAATGATCTAGCTGTTTATATTATTGGTCTTCTTACTAATCTTTGCATCTGTCATTTTTCTATTACTTGTTTACTTAAATTAGCTTCTTTTTTCCTGATTTAGTCCTATGAGCATTCAACACTAATTGAGTCATTGATTCTATAAGACACCAACCATATTGATCAAGTTGATGAGTCACAACCCATAAATTGGTATATTTTCTCAAGTGTTTTCCTAATTACTTTCCATTCTTTTCCTGAAGGTTTGTTCATGACATTTCTGTTGAACAAGAGGCATTTGTGTGAGGCTTTTTTTTTTTTAATTAAGAATGTACTTTCTTCTAATGTACTTACAAATCTGCTTGTCCATAAATGAAATGTTTCTTCTTTCCGTGCATTTTCCATATTTCTATTTTTGCATGTGACAATTTCATTCTCATTATAACTCAATCATGTAGCAATGGTACCAATTTGACTGTTTAAGGTGAGTAATTACAGACAAACAATGTATAGGCTCATGTAATATTTGATGTGAACTTCATAAAGTACATCAACTAGGCAAGTATACCATATTATTCTGTTAACAAGTCAGCTCTGGCAAGGACTCCCTTCAATGATCAGCAAAGTACATCAGTATCTTTTTAGGGATGTTTTCAGCACCTTATAACCAGAAATGATGCATTTCTTTTGCAATACAAAGGTGGTATCATGAGTATTTCTGGAAAGAACTGGAATGCTTCCCTTCCTGAAATGACTCATAGGCCCCTCCTTGCTGGGGATTTAAAATAGATGGCATTATATCATGCTTAGATTTCCTCCATTTACACAGGGAAAAACACATAGTGGGCGTTCAAATAAGAGTTTTTGATTGGTTTCCCATGACCAATATTTCTGAAACTCTGTCTGACTGTTCCCAGGGCTGTAGTATGTTTCTTTCCCTATAATAAAACCGTTCAGCCCCCTTTTCTTTTTATTGCTCTCATGTGGTTGAGAAATGGGCTTGGAGTCAGGTGTTTCCACTCAAATCCCTGCTTCACCTACAAGCCATTTTTTAAAAAAATATTTTATTTATTCATTTGAGAGAGAGAGAGAAAGAGAAAGCGAGAGACAGAGCACAAGCAGGGGGAGGGGTAGCGGGAGAGCGAGGAGCAGACGCCCTGCTGAGCAGGGAGCCCGATGCCTGGCTCGATCCCAGGACCCCGGGATCATGACCTGAGCTGAAGGCAGATACTCAACCAACTGAGCCACCCAGGTGCCCGACCTACAGGCCATTTAATTTCCTCATTTATATGCAACTAATGAATCATTGAACACTACATCAAAAACTAATGATGTACCGTAGAGTGGCTAACTGAACATAATAAAAAAATAAATGTATTTCTTATTAATGAAAAAAATAAAACTGAGAAAATGATAATACACTTTATACATAGAGCTTTCTGAGGGGATAAAATGAGGTGATGCACATAAAGGATTTACCACAAAGAAGATCATTGATAAATCTTTGCTCCATTTATCGATAGAACTTGCAGTTGTACCTCATCAGTGTGTACATCCTCTGAAACCACAAAGGAGGGGACATCGGACAAATGTTGAAAATTCTTACTTGATCTCTGGGTCAGACCCACTTTTTGGAACTGCCAGCCCTGTTCCTTGGGACATGGCCCTTTGCTTTTTACTTGGTTCTTTTATCTGGAAAGTATGGGGTTGAACTGCATATACTCAATGGCCAGTTTGAACTCTTGATTCCAGACATGTACTTCCTTCAAGACCAAGTATCCCCACACTATCCAGGCCTTCAAACCACTGATGAGAAACTGAACCAAAGTCAAAAGATGAAGATGCTATTGTTCAAGTAGCAAGATAGCCTTATGGAAAACCTTGGTAAATGACCCAGGACAAATATCAGAGGGAAAGTGTTTCCGACTGAAACCTGAAGTTTGGTTATCATGCATTGTTTTTCTTAGTGAATTTTTTAAAAACTTTCTAGGACTAATTAGTGCCACTTGAAAGATTCTTTATAAAGTAATAGCAACAAGATGACTATGTATGGTGTATGATGCAAATCCCAAATGACAGCAATTACGTAAGTAGTATAAAAATTAGATGAGAGAATAGATAGCGCTAAACAATATTTTGTATTTAGATAAAGTATATGTTGTGTTCTAGCAAAATTTCTCCCTCAGAAAGGTTGGAGACATTGGATTTATAGCCTTAAGATTTTGAAAATTGTTACTATTGAAATAAACTTTTCATCCTAAAGCTGTATTCTCTCCCTCTTCCCCCCTCTGAATTGCCAGGTGTCTGGAAAATCTGATTACTTTCTCATCCTGTTGAACAGCTGCCCAACCAGGATGGACAGGAGCAAGGGACTAGATTTTCTAAAGCCCATTTTCGAGAAGATGTTTATGAAAAAGTCCTTTCGCAATGGAGTTGGCACAGGGATGAAAAAAACTTCCTTTCGAAGAGCAAAATCATGAATAAGTATGCAAAGGACTCTGGGAATTAATCTCAAACTTTGTAGAGTGTGACTAATGTGCTAAAAGTCAGTTATTTCTTTATCATTAAGCATTGGTGTGCTCTCATTTCTTAAATACCATTTCTCTCTGAGCTGGTAGGAGTAAATTGAGTTTAAAAAAAATGTAAACCTGCCTCAAACTTCCCTTTCAAGAGAATAAACTATTTATATGATCAGTTAGCAACTTCCCTGGCTAAGGATGGACACATTTGCTTTGATCTTGAATTGTCCAGAAAGTGTGAGCATTTTTTTACTGTAATGACAATGGTATGATTTCTTTCCTGCCTGTAATACTGTAATATCATAATACTGCTTTCTTTTTCTTTTAAATACCGCATTCTGAAATGACTCAACACGGCCAATTCTTTTGAGATGTGCTATTTCAGCTTCTAAGAGGGTCTTGTGAGATTAGCCAAAGTTAAGATTTATGCGACCACTGTATTTTCCTCACTCAATTGATTGATTCCAGAAACAAACATCACCAGTACCCTCTGGGAGTAATTCTTGCTGTTCTTTCCCAAAAATATACTTGGACATGGATTTTTGTTTTGTCTTGGAAGTTTGTTGTTTCCTTTTATCTTAAAACACAGAAACACTGCCGGTAACAATAATGACAACAGAGAGACTGCTGGTTGCCCTGTGGTGTGGGGGAGCACTTTGTGAGCCGGTTCTCCCAAGTTGTGCTGATTAATGCCCCACTCCTTCCCTCTCCAGGGAAGACCTGGACTTTCCTTCCACTGAAACTCCTGACATTACTTTTTTTTTTTTAAGTAGGCTCCATGCCCAGTGTGGAGCCCAACATGGGGCTTGAACGCACAACCCCAAGATCAAGATCTGAGTTGAGATCAAGAGTCTGATGCTTAACCGACTGAGCCACCCAGGTGCCCCCTGACGTTACTTCTTTGAAAAGGATAATGCAACATTGGTTGATGGGTTATTTCTTCAAAGGCCTAACTTTAATAAATGTGTGTGTTCATGTCTGATTCTGCAACACGCTTAGGGCATTCTGACCAAGAAAATCACTATGTTTTCCACTTCATTCTATGTGTATAGACACAGATGAGGTGAAAAAGTCCTCATGCACTTAAAAAAAAATGGACTAGGGACCCTCATGTCCTTTCGCTTTCTACCCCTATGGCCCTGGCCTTTGTTCCCATGGGGACAGCTTTAGCAGTCTAACCAGCTGCCAGCCGCAGCTCCACCCTTCCTACCCGCTATGAACAAACTTCTTTAGGAGCACCTGGAAATGCGGCGAAGGAATTTATCTGTTTGTTAGGTCCTGTCTGCTCACAGGCTCTGTAGCACCATGAGGCCTAACAGGTGAGATGCGAAGTACTTCCAATAAACTGGAAATTCCAACAGCAGATTGTCAAGGAATCTAGTATCTTTTTTTTTTTTAATCTGCCTGGCATTATTGGCAAGGAGGCTAACGACCTAGCCCAGTAGGTGTTATTTGCTCCTGTGAAGCTGAAAAATAGTTGCTGCCTTAATATGCTCCCGGTAAGTGCGGTGTCCGTTGGGCATCTTGTGTAGGGAAGAGATTATTGTTGCAAAGAAATCTTCCAGATTTTTTTATCTGCATTTATATGGATTAGTTGGAGTAATAAAACACTAAAAACATAATTGGAAAAATTTTTTTCCCACTTCTGGATTCTAAAATATCATTCTAACCTTGGGGGGAAAAAAGCCTATGGAAAAGTAGTGGTACTCCAAAAACGGTATTAGACAAAAAACTGGCAGTAGGGAAATTTGCTTTCTGATAAGAAATTGCACCTCTTGCTAAGATTTTAGGAATAAAGTGTTTAAGATGAAAAGTACTTCCAAGTCGTGTTTGGATAGTGTCATTAGAGAGGTGACCAAAGGCTAACCATGTCAACCTTGGGGAAAGCGAACCCTAAGCCAGTATAGAAACCATGTGGCCGGGGACTGTATTCAGTCCTTGACACAGTTTCTGCAGGGCCCTGAGCCTGCCTGCTCCCAAGGCTGCATGGAGAATGGCCTTGAGTGGCGGGAGGTGGAGATGAGTTGGTCGCCAGATGTTATGACCGTTTGCCCTTTCCTTGTCATCTGGGAGCGTGGATGGGGGCCTGAATTTCACCTTTAGGGTCAGCTGCCTCAGACAAGGCTTTGGAAGCCCTCAGAATGCACACATCCCAAGGGACGAGTAACACTACGAGTTAGTTCTGGTCAGCTGTACCTTAACCTGCTTAGGTTTCATTTCTTACCTGGAGAGATTTTTTTGAAAGGGAAGGAAAAGAACTCGTGAGGTCCATGGTCACCTGGAGGGAGGATGCAGGTGTGGAGAAGGTGCGCACAAAGCAGGACCAGGCAGGCGGGATGCCACAGACCCATGGGCCGCATGGACCTGCTTGGATCCAATGCAGTGTTTACTCAGTTGCACAAACTTGCCTGAGCTTCTAGAATCTTTCTGAGCCCAAGTTTCGTCACCTATGAAATAGGGCTAGGAACACTGACCTTATAGGATTATTTATTTGCTGAGTCATTTGTTGATTCATTCACTTGACCAATATTTATTGAGCACCTAGTATATTCCAGGGAGAGCGTTCTAGGCAATTGGAATGCGATCATTAAGAAAACAAACCAAATTCCTGCTCTCACTGATCTTTTATTAAAGTGGGAGGGGAGTTAGAAAAAATGATAGTTTTGTTGGATGGTGATAAATGATAAGCGGAAACAGCCGGAACGGGGAGAAGGGGGGTGGAGGGGTAGGAGTGTCAGTATAATTTCAGATAGTGTTGTCAGGGAAGGTGTTGCTGAGGATGAGTAGTAAGAATTCCAAAATTTCTACAGTGGAGTGATCGCAGAGAGGGTGACAAATGGAACCAGACGGGTAGGGGGTTTGTGCAGAGTCTTGTCAGAACGTTTGTTTTTCCTCTGAATGGCATGGAAAGCCTCTCAAGAGTTTTTAGCAGAGAAATGACATTATCAAATATATCTTTTAGCCATCATTAATTTGTAAGCATGAGAAATAAAATGCATACCTAAGAAGTCTCGATAATAGCATCAGTAATTCTTTCTGTGATTGACACCCAGGAACTCAGGTTCCTTTCCTTCCCTGCCTGTTTCACAATTCTGCCCTGGGAAATAATTACACTGTGAGCTGGAGCCTGTGGTTGGGCAAGGACCCTGGGAGGGCAGAGCTGTCACTCTCCAAGGAATCTTGATGAGAGATCCGACTCTCATCCCTTCAACTAAACTCATCTTGAAGGTGAAATTTTACTTTTATGTTTGAGTGAGGAGCATTTTGTTCTTACAAACACTTACTGAAAATTCCAAAGAAGCCTCCCAAATTTTAAGGGAGGGATGCATGGGTGTGTGAATTTGTGGGTAGAAAACCCAAGCAAAGAAATACAAGAATTAAGGTTTCAACTCACATACATGAATTTTGGGGTGCTCATGGCATTTTCTTTCTCCTGGCAATTTATTTCTAATGCAGAAACATTAAAAACCAAAAAATGATGTCTGCTACAAAATTTCCACTCCAGACACTTAGCCTCATTCATTTTTGAGCATTCCCAAGGAGGAGCAATATTTTAGGGAAGGAAAATCTGAAAACAATTGGATTCCATTTCCCACATACAGTAAGACCCAGAATACAGCAATTTGACTCAAAGTTCCATTTCTACACTCAATATTCTCAACTCTTTTTCGCCTGTCAGACAATAACAGCAAAAAACAAATATCCAGGTGGCTGCTCTCTGCCCCTCCCCTCTGGACTCATTTCTCTCTGCTAATATTCATGTGGACTCATGTGTTAAGGTAGAGGTGGGTTTCACTGTCAATGGAAAATTATTGCTTTACTTCCTCTCTGTGACGAGCGATTGTTTTCTGGGTGGCCTGACAGCTCCTCTGAGCTGCCTGTGATTGACTGTGTGGCCCATACCTCCTCCTTTTCATGAGTGCTGTGCCCATTTTCAACTACCACCCTTCTGGGGTATGAAGCTTTCCTGAGCAGCTGACACTCCAGTTCAGTCTGTTTCTCCCTGACTAACAAATCCATTCTCTTGCTTGCCCTGCAAAAAGCGAGACAGCTGCTAGGATCTCTCTTCTGGAGCACAAACCATGGCGGATCCAGCCGTGCAGGTGCAGGATGCCTCTCCATGGGATAACAAAGACCCACACCAGGTCCTGCAGGCATTGTCCAGCTGCTGAGCCTTCTGTTCCTGAGCTCGCCTTCCATGGTGTGCTGTTGACACTGAGCCTGGGCCTTTTGGCTGACCCCTTCCTGGCTGACCTCTGCCCATCAACTGTTAAAGCTCTAGTTGAAGCAAACTTGCAAAAAAATAAAATCTAAAGAGATCTGTACTATGTGGGACTCAATGTGTGGTTGCAAACAGACTCCTCCACAGTAATAAACAAATTCCCACTTACCAGGTTTGGGGTTTTGCAAGTGCTTTCCATATACTGTCCCATTTACACCCTCCATAGCCCTGTGGTAAGACACTGGGATGTTGTTATTCCCATATATAGACAAGGAGACTGATCGTGATCTTTCTTATGGGGGATCAAGGTCAAATACCTGGTAAATGGCAGGTTTGCCTTGCCCAGAAGATAATGTCAGGCAATGAATGGAAGAAAAGGAAAAAAGAAACCAGAGAAGGCATATGCAATTATTAATTTTATGTGCCAACTTGACTGGGCCATGGGGTGCTTAGATACTTGGCTAAACATTATTTCTGGGAGTGTCTGTTTCTGGATGAGATTAGCATTTGAATCCTCAGACTAAGTAAAGCAGGTTGCCCTACCCATGGTAGATGGGCTTCATCTAATCTGTTGAAACCCTGAATAGAATATAAGGCTGAATAAGAAAAGAATTCTCTCTCTTTCTCTCTCTCTCTCTGCCTCACTGTCTTTGAGCTGGGACGTCAAGTCTTCTGCTCTCAGACTCAGATCAGACTGGAACTTAAACCATGAGCTCTCCTGCTTCTCAGGCATTCAGAC